TTTGTATTGGATGAAAGTCTGAAAAATAATAGCAGCTTTATCCGATTTGTTTGTGCTTATCATTTTATTTAAATCAAAGCTGGCAACAAGTCCAACTTAGATTATTGGAAGTTAATTGAGCAAAGTAGGGCTAAGGCACCCTGTTCTTATGGAATCCTCTTATATAAAATATAAAATTTTTGGAGTTATGATTGGATTTGAATGTATTATGAAATTCAAAGTAAATCAAATTAATTATTTTTTGTTTGATTTGTGTAACGATCCGTCAGGTCTCATACAATCTATAGCGTCAGGGGAAAATAATAACATGTCTTTCCCGTACTCTATATATATGCATAAAATAACACATCATAATTAAGCAGTTATATACATACTAGGAAATAACAACTAATGTCTCGTATACATATATATGACTGATAATATAATGTAATATTTTATACAAAATGACTGGCAGACTACAACAAAATTTTCACAACAAAAGCCTCAGCTCTCCTACTGAATCCAATCAGAGTCCGCTACCCTTCACAACACCACCTAATCTTGATCTGCTTGCATACAATGTATGGTCATGGCAATCCCAAATCCACAAGGGAAGATATGTTAAGGTAAGCTCATAGCAATAATCATCATAAAATAACATCAACATAAAACAAACAACAATAGAATACAACATTCAACTTTACGTCTTTCAAATTCAAACGACAGCATAGACAACAGTAGATATATATATATATATTATCTCAACCAGGTCAGGTATAGGGCATCATTAGAAACTCTGAAGAGAACCAGGTATAGACAACAATAGGCAATTACTCAGGTGTCTCACTTAGACTCGGAAGTCCAGTACTACTATTAGGGCAGAAGGGTTTGGGTATGGGCCTACCACAACCTTGGTCTGCATAACCAATCCACATATGGAGTTAGCCCACCCACTACTCTCCAAGTACCATGCACCCTCCAGTACCTAGTCAAAGACTACATCTCTAACTAGATACCTTACTCAATTTGGTCATTCAAGCATAACATGGATCAACTACTTCCATATGCCCACACAGTACTAAGGAATTCAACTTTAAAACAACTTTCAACTTATCACCTTAGTATTATGTATCTCAACATAGGACATATATCTTCACCATATGTCCCCAACTTTACAACTTTACAACTATAGGCATCATGACTACTTTACAACAATAACCATCTTTACAACAATAAGCAACTATAGTTATCAATCTCAACTTCAATAACTTTAGAGCAAATTACAACTTTACTACAATAGCCTACTTCAACTTATACACATTTCATCAATGACAAGATGTAAACAACATAAATCAACACCTACTCAACTCATCTTTATCAAACAACTTAGTAACTTAACCAAATCATTCAACATATTCACGCCTAGCGCAGCCATCTCCCGCCTCGCTTGATATTCAATCCGAGAGCTCTAAGGCTCCTCCACGCCCGACGCCTCAACCTTGCGCCCAACGCCATCCAGTCAAAGACTCAAAAAAGTCTCCACGCCCAACGCACCATCACTGCACCCAGCGCCCTGAAGTCAGAGACTCAAAAGAGTCTTCATGCCCGGGGCATCAACCCTGTGCCCGGCGCCCTGAAGTTAGAGACTCAAAAGAGTCTCCACGCCTGGCACATCAACCCTATGCCCGACGCCACATCGGTAAAACACCCAACAAGGCCACTATCTGATATCGTGCCTAGCGTGGTTCTCACACGCCCAACGCAATTCATCCAGAGAGCTCCCATTGCAAATCGTGCATGGCGTGACTAGCCTCGTGCTCGACGTGATTTACTAATGGTGATCTCTGATGAAGACACGCTCAACGCCAAGAACTGCGCCCGACACAAGTTCAAACAACAACTTTCAAACCTCAGAATTTTTGTCCAAAAACTTGAAAATCCAAAGAATCCACAACATGCAATCCATACCACATGATATCCAAGTATCAAACAATCTAGAAACGTGCACAGATCCTACATGCACACACCTAGTGCATCAAAATCGTCAAAACCCATTTCAATGAAAACTAGAAAATGGAGCCTCCCTAACCTCGAATCTGCAAACTCCAAGGTTTTGGGCTAGTCAAAAACTTCGGGGAAGAACTCCAAGCTACCACTGAAAGAACGAGGAAGGAGAATGAGCTTCGGCTCCACAACCCTAGCTCCACCATGTCCAAGAAAAAAGAAGCTTGCGGAGAGGAAGAGAAACCGGAGGAAATGAGAATGTTCCAAACTTTGTGAGAATGCAGAAAATGAGAGAAGCTCGAGTCTTACAATTTGATTTGATTTTTGTGATTTTAAAAATTAGTTAAAAATATGTAATATTTTAGTCTGTGCAATATATATATATATATATATATATATATATATGTTAAATATTTATTATATATAATTAAAATTTATAATAAATTTTATATATAAATAAATATTATTGAATATATAAATAATATTTAAAAATCATTTAAATAGATATTTTTAATCACATAAATTATATTTAAGATTTATGATAAATAATTTGTATTGTAATACTATATTATTTTATTTATTGATAATTTATTTTAAATATTAAAATTTAATTAATAAATTAAAAACTAATTAGATAAGTTAAAAAAAAGTTCTAAAATTCTTCTCGTACAAGAAAAACTCCTAAAATAATTTTCATATGAGATAAAAATTCATATTTAATATATAAAGGTTAATTTAAAACCTATACATTGAAAATAAAATTAAAAATATATAAATACTATAGAATTTGGGTTACTCATTATGTTTAACACTATTTTTTATCTTATTATTTTAGTAAAATATTTATTTTATAAAATTTTAGTTATTGTATTAAATATTTTTTCTCATATATATAATTTGTCACTTAAAATAAAATAACTTTTCAATGTTATAAATGATTCGTAATTTTTTATTCTAAAATTTAATTTAATAACTTATAATTTTATATTAAAAAATACATTTTAAATAAAATATATTATAATTTTCATTTAAGGGAAAATATTTTTTTTAGTAGTTTACAATTTAATATCTTACAATTTTATAAAAATACCTTTTATGTTGTATGTGGATGTCTTATACTTAAATAATGCATTTGCAAAAAAATAAAACATTTACATAAATGTGTTGGTCAATTTGATTTGGATTAATTTTTCATTCTCAAATTGTATCAAACAACACGATTTAAGAAAATAAAATATTGAATCAAACAGCTAGTTTGCGATTTTTCATTACTAAAACATTAACATTGAGTTATTAAGAGTTAGGCTAAAACCCTATTTTGGTCCCTTATAATAATTGTTTATTTCAATTTAGTCTCACTTTTATTTTTAGTTTCAATTTGGTCCCATATTAATTAATTGATTTCAATTTTGTCCCAAATAAATTAATTTGTTTCAATTTGGGACTTCCGTCCAAATTATTTAAACAGAGTTAACTTTTGGCCACGTGGATGCTACGTAGATGCATACGTGGATACCACGTAGACGCTAAATTTTTTGAAAATATCTGGAACCAGAACGGCCCGTTCTGAAACCAGAACGGACCGTTCCGGATGCACTCGTGGTGTGTTCATTTTGCACCTGAAACGGGCCGTTCCAGATGCAACAGAACGACCGTTCTGGTTTCAGAACGAGCCGTTCTGGTTTAAGAACTTTCCGTTCTGGATTCAGAACGGGCCGTTCTAGTCCCGTTCCAAAACTGAAAATATTCTTTATTAATTTTATTAAAAATATAACAAATTTGAAAAATATTTTTTTATGGTAAAAATTTTAAAATTACTTATTTTTATAAAATACAATTGTCTTATAAATAGAGTAATAACTTTTTCTTTTTCTCTTTCTGTCTGAAGAAATATTTAAGTGTCACTTTATAATTTTTTGCAACTTATTTAAAATTAAAGGAATAAAATGATAAAAATTAATAGGATAAACATAATAAAAATAAAATATAAAAAAAAAGAATGAAAACAATTTTAGTGGAGGCAAGTGCCCCCACTATAATTAACTTAGATCTGTCCCTGCATATGATTGTGTGGTGAAATGTTAGTCCTGTGTATCCTCTTCCTTTACTTCAGGTTCTACCTCTTCAAGAACAGGTTGTTGTTGGGGTACATCATTAATGACTTCAAGGAAAAATATCATATCATTTCATCTTTTACTGTATAGTGTCAATTTAGTAGTAAGTGGTTCACTCCAGCTTGAAATAAAATAAAATCTGCTACCATTGTCTTTAGTAATACATTGCATTGTCCTTAATAGTACACTGTATAGCCTAACTGTTTAGCAATTGAAGTTATTAATTTTCATTAACAATATTTCCAAATTCAGTGTTTGAAATACTTTGTACCTTGGGTCTTTTTCCTTCCATGATTCACAACCGTAAACTATAATCATTGATCGTTTATGTTTAGCAGTGTGGAACCAGAACGTTCCAGATGTAAATATAACATACTAAAAGTGAAACCAGAACAGGCCGTTCTGGTTTCAGAACGGGCCGTTCTGGATCCAGGTGTTTTCAAAAAAAATTGTCATCCATGTGACATCTACCTATGCATCTACGTGACATCCACGTGACCAATAGTTAACTCCGTTTAAATAATTTGGACGAAAATCCCAAATTGAAACCAATTAATTTATTTGAAATCAAATTGAAACCAATTAATTAATTTGAGACCAAATTGAAATCAAAAATAAAAGTGAGACTAAATTGAAACAAACAATTATTATAAGGGACCAAAATAGAATTTTAGCCTAAGAGTTATGATCATATAATCGTTATTTATACAACACTTTTCTCACTCTACTCATTACAGATACTTCATTGAAATTCAGCTTAAACTAGTGATAAAAAGTAAATAAAAAAACCCTTAAAACCGCATAATTTTGTCATCATGTTATTAGAACCAGGACAGGACACTTAAGTGACTGTCCAAAGAAAAAAAATTGAAATGTGAAATAAATAGAATGATGGACAAAAGATAAGATACAAGTCGATTCTATTATTTACATCAATACCATAAATTACAACTGAATTTGAAACCTCTAAATTGAGTAGTGTAAAGTGATAGAATAAGCATGCATCCTTTCTCACTTTACACATCAGTTCAATTTAAAAGAATAAATCCATCACAACTAATTATTGATATGCAATGTCTGTTATTTACAGGGTCAACAGAAGAATCTCAAAGTAATATCCACATTTTGGCACAGCAGTCAAGCCCCTAAACCTCAAACTTCTCTACCTCTTCCACAATAATTGACCAAGTTAACAAAGCCATTAGTGTGAAATGAAAGAATATTTCATACCTATGAAAAGAAAGAAAAGTACATGCAATTATAAGCAACCATAACCCAATTACAAGTGTAAATATAAACCAGATTATTGTTCAGTAATGTAACAAACAGTTAGATATACTTGATTGTTTTAGTATAACAATCTCAAGAAACTAACCATTTGACAATATTTATATAAAAAATTAAAATATCACCTTCAATCAAATTCATCTCTTTTTTCTTCACAGTCATTCTCCAGATTCAGGCCTCTACTGTCACCGTATACAAACATATGTCGATCATCCATGTTGAAGTACTCAATTCTATTATTTACAATCTTTGGCCTAGTATTTGGTTTAAGGGTGTTATCTTTATTTACAAATCCCTTTGTTTCTACCGGAATCAAATGATCGTTCCACTCATTTCCTTGAATCCCAGTTTCAGCAATAGTTCCACTAGAATTAGTCATAATACAATCAGGAGATTCCAAAAAACTCCTGGGTGAAACTCTTCCCTTTTCAAACAACTTATAACTTTGATGCAAAAGTTGTTCATTTCTGTTATCCACAGCAAGAGTCCTGCAAGAAAACCATGATTTTTCATTCACATAAATAAACTATATCCTATATCCTTGCATGCAAAGAGTAAATGCAAAAATAAATAGCACGGGTGATACTGGTATATGATATCCAGCCTTTGAAAATAAGCTACTGTCATTATTACGATCAAATAGCACAACATCAAAAGCTTAAATATTTTAACCTACCTACTAACTAATTAGTAAAATAATTAGTCATCAAACCTTAATGGTTGAAATTTTGGGGTTTGCATATAGTCAAAAATTGGAACCAAGTCTTTTGACCTAACTTCTATCACATGAGTTGGAATCTTTTCGATCTCAAATTCCCCTCTGGAAGAGACTTGTTCATCCGCCATCAAAGTAGCCTCTTTACCCATCGAGTGAAAATATATCTAGTTGGAAACAGAATCATATATTTAAATGCCAAACCATGAAATGTGAAAGAATAAAAAACATTTTCCATTTTTAAAATAATATACCTCAGTCTTTGACCACAATGGAATCTTAGCTTCATGCATTTGTAGTTCAGCTTCTGAAATATACAAGCGACATTCTTTCTCAGAATAGGAATTCAATTTCTGGGATATGTCATTGATTTTTGGGCCAATGATACTATCCTCGTTCACTTCCTTTGAATATACATTATTGCTGTCTGAAGCTTCCTTCTCACCATATATATCAATATTATCTTCTCCCTCTCTCCAACTATGTCTCCGACTTATACTCCATTTCTGGATCGGCTCAACTACTACTCTTGCATCAGTCAGTGGGACGGATTCATATGCAGGTGTTAATCCAGAAACAACAACTGAATCTTGACTGCTAATTGTCTGCAGAGCATATTGTATCATAGAACCAGTAGGTGAAAAGACCAACAGATGATACTTTTCCTTGGAATAGTTCCCATTAACATAAAAGCTACTGCTGCCTTCAAAGTTACAAAAAGATGAAGCAATAGCCCCAGAAAGGGAACTCATCCTACTTGTTGCAGCTGCAGCAGCACCAGTTACTGTGCTTCTCCAGCCATTAGATCCATTCCTAATTCTGCTTACAACAGAAAGTGTTATTGGAGGACCCACAGCACAAAGGCTCTGCGGTTTACAAATTTTTAAAGATGAACTATGAGGCCAACGAACCGCTTGATTAGACATAACACCCAATCCATCATTATTTTCAGTTAAGCTATTGTCATATGACAAAATATTTACAGGCCCTCCTTGAAGATTTATAGCGAATAGATGGCTAGTTCCCCTTGAGGAACTAATCATAATCCACTTGCTATCAACACTAAAACTGATATCTTGAATAACCTGAAAAGCCAAATACCGATTATTAAAAAAGGTATTAATTACTTGTAAATGTGTTTTGAAAAACAAAATGGGCCTGTAAAGATGAACTCACTGCATTTGTAAAACCACGTTGCAGCCTGTAAAGATGAACATAAGATGGGCCAGCATCAGATGTTGACACTCTCTCATATCCAGGCATTATCTTAAAAACATTAATGTTATGCCCCTGAACAGAAGCCGTCACTAATATGGTACCACTAGGATCAAAGCATAAAGCTGAAATAGGACTCTTGTGGGCCCGGAATTGGGCAATGACATTTTTACTGACTATATCTCTTACAATGACCTGAAAGAGAACGATAAGTTATGCTTGTTAAATCATAATATTAACTGTACTAGCATTATTTTCCATATTGTAGAAGTGTAACCAAGATCAAAATATACCGGCAAAAGAATCCAACCCGAGAAATGCAAAAGTATTGAGCAAATGCAAAATTATAATAGACTATTATTTCCAGAAAGACATAACCATCTTTGCAACTAAATTTTAATAAATAGTGAGGAAAGACCGACGACAATTTTAGGAACATAATGTTAAGAACTACCTCAGACCAGATGTGTACAGCCCAAGATAGGGAAAATGCTATTCTATCTATTCAGGTGCAAAAGATAATCAAGCATAATATGCTGCAGATCCAATTAAAACTTAAAAGTGAATGAAAATTTATAAAAAACAGTATTTACCATCCCAATGTTATCCACATCTGTTGAATGGCTAATCATTCGATTTCCTTTTGGGCTAGAATTTGCAGATTGTATAGAACCAGTGCTATCTGGGCGAAGTTCTGAGCAGTATCTGGAAAGTTTCTTATACCCCATATCACCAAGGGTCACAATCCCAGCAGCAAGATGCTTGCTAGACTCTTTAGCATAGTGTGCAACCAAGCTCCCATTTGAAGAAAAACAAGGAAAGCTTGCAGAAGGTGTCAAATGCTGTGGGCTGACACGCCCAGAAGGGGCTGTTGCAGCTGGGCTTCCACTGTAGGCCAGCCATCTAGGACCCACTGCAAGTGGTCCAAAGCCAATGCCTCCAGAACCAATACCACCCATGACTATAGGATTGGTGAGTAAAGTATACTCTCTCTCTAAAGTTGTTGCAGAAAAACAGTGTATCTGCAGAATAGAGATACCATTAAACATTTTAGGAAAACAAATTTAGAGGAACTTAATATAAATATTAGAAAGTATACCTGAGTGGCTTGAGAAACAGCAACTATTCGAGAACTACATCTTATAGAATAAACAACTGATCTAAACTTTAGTACATGAGCATACGATTGAGACCTCATAGAATAAAATTGAACAGTAGTTGGCAGACAGTTTCCCTTTACTTGGTCATGGCAGTTTAATGCACCCCCATTGCAAGTGGCAACCAACCCATCTTGTATTTTGCCTCCATCAGCCAAGAAACTGTCTGTACAAACTACCAACAAAGGACGCCTGTTTGCAAACTTGTCCTCTGGTGTCTTTGATACAATTGGACTTGGAACCATTTGCATAAAAGAAACAGGACCATCATGTCTGGAAGCTAGATCACAGACATTATTTGAATCATCAACATCCCAAACATGGAAGCCAGATGAATAGCCTAGAAGAAGTACTTTTCGAATGACTTTTCCCTGGCCCTCTATCGAGTCAAACCCAGCCCAAATAACCTATACAAATGTGGAAGTAATTGAAAAGTGTCACCTCAGCCCTAACACCAAATTGAAAAGTGCCATAGAGAGAAGAAAAAAAAGGAGTATCAAATTTTCAATATTCATTAGGTAAAGAAGCAATAAGATATCAGATCCAGAGAACAATTAAAGGGCAGAGGAAAAATCATAAATAACACGCATACATCCTAAACTGAAATCTATTTAACATAAGGAGAAAAAAAATGATATATAGCATCATTTATACTACAGAAGAAGACAAAAAGGCCCAATAGTTCCAAAAGGATAAGAATATTAAGAATAAGAATATTTGGTTAAATGATCAATTACATAGGAACATTAAAGGCATCATATACACACAACCACATTTCCAGCTTTGTTATGACTCCAGAAACTGTTATATCAAGAACACATGGGTGCAACACAGTACATGTTGTTGAGTCACAACAACATATCCAGTATTTGATGGTTGATGCACAACACAGAGGAGTCAAACTCTTACTACAAAGCCATGCTACAATTTGGCATTGCTAGAGCACAGCTCTCTCTCATATCTATAATGAGGTTTCTTTGGTACAACAGTTAATTGGGAATTAGATTAGGCATTTCACTTCTCTTTGGTAGTAGGTCATGGTCATCTAGAGGTACCCAGCTCACCCTCTACATTAGCCACTAAAGCATAGAAAGAAAAAAAATAACTCACTTTACATAATTTTACTTCCTTGATTACTAACAGGTTGTTTGGATGAGTGTAGATTATCTTGATTTTGCAAAATTAATTTTGGTTAAAAGTGATTTTGAAGTGAATTGTATTATATTTTGAAATTTTTAATCTTAATCCTAATGCAAAAGATATGTTTTTCTTACCAAAACATGTTTCCACTGTGTATACTCATGTTTGAAGATTGTGAATGTCAATCCAAACATGCTGCTGATAAACATGATTATTACAACTTCCACAATAGGATAGAGCTCAGTTTGGGCAGATAATTTATTGACAATTAATAGAGATACTGATTACAAGGTGCAATAAATTTGTTAGCTATTTTTTATTCGAATTCATCAAAACCCTATTAAACAGTGACCATGCTAGAACCTACAAATTACAAATTGGTTGGCCGTACAACTGGTAAAAGGATATCTTGATAACAGATCAACAAATAGAGAAAGAAAATAACGAAATCTTTCAACAAAAATTTAACCCATGATATAAGGACATGCACTCATGCGTGATAAAAAAGCTTATCCCTTCTTAACACATAGATGCTCAGTCCAGAATAAGAATAAATATCAAGCAAAAATGGAATAAAATCTCAACTAACAGAAATGACTATACCCTCTTCCCATAACAAACCATTAAACACAAATGACAAAGGGTTTAGCATGTTATTTATTAGAAACATGAAATGAACATGCACTGAAGTGTAGGCATATCCAATTTGCAAAAACACAAACTATTTATTCTTCTTTCTTAAATACAACCTATTCTAAATTTTATCTTTTAAAACATTTGGTTTGACAAGAGATCATTATGGAATGAACAATGAAAGCATGTTCTAGAACTTTATAAAACTGTAAACCCCAGCAAGGTTACTATTTTCCACTTCCACACATTAGAACTAACTCATGCATACCTGATTAGGATCAGCACCACCATCCTTATCCAAAATGGACGATGCAAAAGAGGCGGCTGCAGACCGAGCAACAATAGAAGCACCAGATGAAACAGTCTTCATGTAACCAGAGAGAGTACGAAAGGAGCTGGGAATAAAGCCATTGCTGTTGGCTCTGCCACTACTATCTGCGGCTGCAACACCTCCACGAAGAAGGCGTCCTTGTTTCTGACCACCATTCCTACTCATCCCAAAAACTAAAGAGATGAAAATAACAGCTATCCACAACCACAACAAGAAAAGGGTCACCAATGATTCTCCAAATTCACCCTTAAATTCAATCATCACCCTCAAAAACCAAAACAAAACTTAATTAATAAAAAAAATTCACAATTTTTACACCGCTAAGGTCACAAGTGTCACCGTGTCTTTAACCTCTCCAAAACCAGCCAAATCACAGTCACCCCAAAACAAAATTTGCCTCAAACAAATTTCCCCTTCTTTGTGTTTTCCCAGGAAACAAAACACCGAAAAAAAACCAAAATACTTTAAATAATTTCCTTTTTTTTCTAACTTTGATTGAAACCCAGAAAAATATTATAAAAAAAATTTACGGGTCTAGTTGCAAATTAACAACAATAATTAGTATTTCTAATTCCTTAATAATCACAAATTAAATAATAATAAAAATTGTGAAAAAAAAAATATATGAAATTTTACTCGTATGAATCTTTAAAAAATATATATATACATGTTGATGATTTAAGCAATGAAACGGTTGGAGATAATTTGGGAATGAGAATTTAGGGTTTTGAAAAGAGAACTCGCCTGGAAAGTCCAGAAAACAGAGCGATAAGAGAGAAAAAAAAAAACAAACAAACAAAAAAAAAAGTGGAGAGAGAAAAACAGTATAACAAAGAAGCAAATTAAGAAAGTTAAAATTAAAATTAAAAAGTTCTCCCTCATGTGTTTAAGGTACTTGGTACTCAATTTCTTTTTCTCTCTAAAATATCTAAACTCTTTTTTATATTTATTATTACATAATATTGTATTAATTATATTATTATATTGTAAAAGAAAATTTTCTTATATAAATTGCATCTTTAGTCTATAATTATAGGTTTTTTTTAAATAAAATTATGTATTTTAAAAAAATTAATTAATGTTATTAAGATAATTAAATTTATTAATAATTTAAATTATTTTTCTAAAATTAGTATTTTTAATTATTTTTCATTTAATTAATTAATATTTTTGAAAGAGAGATATTTGTGTTTAATTATATTATCTGATACTAATAAGAAAGAGAGTATTTATCTAATTAATTTTAAATATTTATTATTTTTTGTCTAAACTAATTATTAATTAAATAAAAATATTTTAAAGATAATATAGTTAATGCAATTAATAATTTAAAAAATTTTAAAAAAAATAAGAGAAATAACAAATCTTTTATATACATATAGATTCCTATGATATATATATTATGATAATTAAATAATTTAAAGGTTTAAATATGTTTTTAGTCCCTCAAATTTAAGATAAATTTGTTTTTGTCCCTCAAATTTGAAACTGTTATTTTTAGTCCTGAAATTTTCAAAAATATTATTTTAGTCCCTTAAGTCACTAATAACATATCTGAAAATGACAAATTAAGATGATTAAATAATATTAATTGAATTTAATGTGATGTTTTCTCTAATAGGAACATTAGTATGTAAATTTTATGCAATAATATTTGATAATTTTCCTAACAAAATTTCAATATAAGAACTAAAATAAGATTTTTTTGAAATTATAGGGATTAAAAACAATAATTTTAAATTTCAGGAACCAAAAACAAATTTATCCTAAATTTCAAGGACTAAAAACATATTTAAGCCTAATTTAAACAATAAATCAATATCACCCTATGAGTTAACATATTAACAATAAATCTATTTTTTCCTTTAATACTATTAAGCAATAGAAATTAAACCAACTTACTTTATTTATGTTAATTTTATTTTTATATTTTATTTTGGTTAAACTAATTTTATATATAAATACGAACAATTATCTTATATGAGAGTATTTTTATTAAATAATTTTTTTATGAGATAGTTTTAAAGATTCTTTTAACTTTATATTTGATTAATATTTTAGTTTATGCATTGTACAAACGTATTTATTATATAATTAAAATTTATAATAAATTACATATAGAAAACACACTTATTTATAGCTTAAATATGTATTTAGTTTCTCAAATTTAGACTAAAATTTTTTTAGTTTCTCAAATTTAAAATCGTTACTTTTAGTTCTTATAATTTTCAAAAAATTTATTTTAGTCTCTCAAATCTTTAATAACATATCTCAAAGTGATAGATTAAAAAAGTTATGCGGTATCACTTGGATTTAATGTCATGTTTTTACTAACAAAATGTCAGTTGGGTTTAATGTGATGTTTTTAATAACAAAGATATTAATATGTAGATTTTATGCGACAACATTTCATAAATTTTGAAACAAAAATTTAGTATAAGGATTAAAACAATATTTTTTGAAATTATAAGACTAAAAAAATCATATTTAAATTTGATGGACTAAAAATAAATTAACCTTAAATTTAAAGGACTAAAAATATATTCAAATATTTATTTATTTATAATTTATTTTAAAGTATTCAAATTTAATTCATATTATAATAAATAAAAATTGAATTAGATAATAAATTAAAAAAGTCTCTACATATTCTCTAATAAAAATATTTTCATGCAACATAAAGATTTGTGTATAATATATAAGGTTGATATTTTTAACATTTAAAAATAATTAATTAATTAAACTATATAATCATTGAAAATATGAGTCTCATTTTATAGCATATAATCATAATAATGTTGTAACTAAATTCACATTCATATGATCAGTATGAAGAAAAGAAATGCATGATCATACGATTTTTTTTTTTTAAAATTTTTTGTGCATGGGTGTTTTACTTGAAAATGATAATTCACGTGATAATTTAAAATTTTTCATATCATTTGTTATTATCTTTAACTAGTATTTTAACATGTATGTTTATTATATATAATATAATCAAAATTTATAAAATATATATGTATAAATAAATATATATATATATATATGTGTTATTTAAAATTAACATACATAAATATTTTTAAACATATAAATTATATTTTAGATTTATATAAAT